CTCTGATTTGCATTGCAGATAGCCTCAAAGGCACTCCAGAGTTTGCTGAAGCCAGGCCAAGGCTGTGGGTCCCCTCTGGACACTTGTTTGAAATAGGGGTAGAGTGTGGGTAACAACCCCTAACTCTTGTGAAATCACACTGAATACTAGTGTCACATAGGCCAAGCATCTTCTGCCATTGGTTGGAGTTGAGCTGATCAGTGTAGCAGCCCAGAGCCTGTGGTGTAATCCACAAGGACCTACTGTCTTAAGAAGTCCCTTGCATGTCAGGAGGTGGTAGGAGCCAGAAGTGGACATGAGGGCACAGTGGTACATGTCTTCTTTCCATCCAGCACTTTCCTACTGCAGGGAAGAAACTGTTTCATATACAGTGGTTAATTACCCACACAACTTAACCATAACCAATTCCCAAATGTTAGGCCTGGGAAGGAAGTTGCTGATGGAATTAGGAATTTGCATTTGACCTGGAAAGTTCAAGAACTGTCAGTAAACTGCAACGTTCAGGCAGCTTTTCAAAACCCAGCAGGTTCCAGTATTGTTCAGGGCAATCGTGTTAGCCAAGTTGAAGGCTGTTATTCATTTCCTTCCAACCATATCTCTGCCTGCTTAGGTAAAAGGACAGAGAGTATCCTGGGGCACCCCTCTCATTCTTTGACCGTAGGGTCTGCACGCAGATAGCTGTAACAACTCCCTGTTCATGACCTTGGCTGAAGGCTCTGGCATTCTCTTCCCAGACTGCCCTGCAGTATCTGGCGCAGCACTTCTGACTGAGGGAATCAGGCTCAGGCCACAGGCACAGGAGTTCAGTTTTGAGTTCAAACCACAGCTGTCTTACTAACTAGACTGTTTTTCAGCACCTGCCACAAGCCTCAGATCAGACAAATCCTCACTCAGTTAAGAACTAGAAAAGGACCTTAAGGACCCCTGGAGCTACTTGTTTTCAAATTGTCTCCCATGGGCAGCTGGCTCCACTCCTGTTCCTGGCTCTTGTATCTGCCAGGCTCCCAGGAGAGGGCTCACCTACCAAAAACAAGTTTCTCACAACTCTGTACTGCAGCCCCTTAGTGGGTCAGGAAATCAGTTCAGTGGGTTGTGACCAACATACTGTTGCTTTAATAAAATAACTCTGGGTAGAAAATAGAAAAGGGGTAATTTGTAGGAGAAAAGACATGATGGCATGACCAGATTTCAGGGCTATCTCCAGGGAGTGGTGGCAAGTAGGAAGTAAAGCGTACTTTCCCAAGAACACAGGAGGGAACAGCTCAAGGCCCCAGCTGATGAGTGCTTGAGTCAGACCTAGACCCACCCTTCCTCCTCTGCCCCGGTGGTGTCACCAAGCATTCTCCTGCTTCTCTTGTCCTTGTCATATTACCACTGAAAAATTTATCAGAGGTTTATGTGATGGTTTATGGGGAGAGGGGGCAGCTGAGAGACTGGACTAGAACTGAGATTCCCTTGCCCCTCCCCCCTCACCAAAAGCTCCTGATGGTTAAATCCTTGGGCTTTGGAGTCAGGCCTGGATTTAGGTATTGGGTGACCTTAGGCAAGTAAATTAATCTCTGTGAGCCTGGGTTTCCTGTTCTTATACTCACTAGTG